ATGTTCTTCATGTAATTGTAGATTAATGATACTAAAATTTTTAAAAAAATTTTTTAATAATAAAATTAAAAAAAAATTTCACTGCTCAACACTGTGGTACTGTGCTCATGGTACTGTGTTCCACACAATCACCCAGGGACCCAGGCTGAGAGGCTGCACCATCTAAACATGTGGCTTCCTTAGCTGCCACAGCAAGGGAAGAGAGCATGGATGTCTTACAACTACTCTTTCCTGATTGGGCCTGGAAGTGATAAAAGATGCTTCTACTCATTCACACAGCCCATAGTGGCTAGAAATAGTCACATCCCTCCTGCCACCTTTCTGAAATGGGGAGGAAATGTCTTCTTCCTCATGCTCGGAATGAGAGGAGTCACAGATTTCAGTGAGCCTTGGTAATGTCTCCTAGATCTCCTAATCCCACCCAGCCAAAGATGATGAAAATAAACTTCTCTAGGCTGTTTTATATGGCAGCCTCACATACACAGACTGCTACCCTTCTCTGACAGGCCTTTTGTACTACTGAGCTGGTGTATCCAAAAGTCTGATTGCAGGTCTCTGTTGCCCTGCAATGTGCTCTGGACACATTATAAAATATGACCTGGACTGCTCAAAATCTTGCCTATAACTCACATTTTCTGATTAAGAGCCATCAGTTTTTCAGATTGTTTTACTTTCTTTGACTTCTATCATCAATCCTGGTATTTAGTTTCCTTTTCAATAGAGAAATCACATTTAAAAAGTCTGTTAAATTACTTTAATTTACTGTTAAATTACACCCCAAACAGAAAACAACGGAATTGCTTTTGCTGTCTCTCAACTGTGGATTGAGATGTGGATAATAAACTTTTGGCAAGGCTTATTCATTACAGGGTAACTCATTCCCTATGACGTTCCAGTATACAGGTAATTTTAATTCATATTTCAGACAAAATTGGCTATTCGTCTGTGAAAAATAAGTTTAGATTTTAATTGAATGGATTATTTGGTTTTATACATAAAGTTCCATACAAAGTAAATATGAAAAACAAAATGTGTTTAAAATATACAGGAGAATATATTAATAACTTTGACAGGGTGAAGGCTCCTGAAGCCACAGAACCCAAAAGTCAGGAATCAGAAATTCAAGGGAGCAAGCAAGAGCAGAGTGGAAGAAAAATCAACTACTAAAATTTTTGTTTTTACTGAGCATATGCCACTATACAAACATGAAATTGGATATATTTTAAATTTAATATAGAAACATGTGAATTCAAAATGGACATTTTTTAAATTAAGTTATCATTGATATACTCTTATGAAGGCTTCACAAGAAAAACAATGTGGTTACTACATTCACCCATATTATCGGGTTCCCCCCCATACCCCATTGCAGTCACTGCGAAATAGACATCTTTTTTTTTTTTGGTATCATTAATCTACAATTACATGAAGAACATTATGTTTACTAGGCTCCCCCCTTCACCAAGTCCCCCCCACATGCCCCTTCACAGTCACTGTCCATCAGCATAGTAAGATGCTGTAAAATCACTACTTCGAAATAGACATCTTTTATAGTTAACATTTTCTTAGTTCTGCCTTTGCCTTGGAAATCATAAACCTGATTTTCATACCACTTTCAAGGTTTGTGTTCCTAGTTGATAGGTGAAAACTGTCAGGTCGTCGTTTTCTCTTTAAGTTTTACTGGTTCCCGTCAACATTTTTTTCATGTTTGATCACTGTTTTTCTTGGTATGTGTTGACCTTTTTTAACTTTTGTACTTAGTATGCATGAAAAGCCCTGAGACAGAGAACTACTACAGCCAGGCGTCCAGGAAAATCCTGGTCATAGATTAGGGGTTCTGAATAACTCACCTCCTGTCATAATGTGGACCCCTGGCTGGTCCTCCCAGTGACAGTAAGTATTCTGGTTGAGAGAGGTGAGTTTACTCTGATATCTGCTTTGTGTTCAATTCTCTATCCCCATCACGCACGCATTCCGCACTTTCAATTTCAATACTCAATTTCAATCTCTAGAAATCCAGGAAACGGTGAAGTAAACTGATGGCTGCTGTGAGTCTTCTGCAGGGGCCCACACTTCGGTGGCCACTCTTGCCGACGTACATTCTAACTCCGACGTACCGAACGTTTTGGGGTTATTTATGTTCCCGCCACTTAAGACCATTTATTATCCCCATGTAATTAACAAGGTTGAGGAACAAGGAAAGGGCGCAGGTGCTCCCGCCGCCTCGAAGCCCGCAGCGTCACAGGCCCTCCAGAACCCGGGAAATATCCGGTTCTGCTCCCGCTAATGCCTTCTCTTCCGCTCCGGTCCCCCCCCACCCCCGCGCAGAGTCCTTTGAATCACGTGGTGATCGGGGGAGGGGGAAGTGGGTGGCCCATCGGCCGCCATCTTGCGGGCTTGGAGGCGGGGCTTGTGGAGTGCGGGTTGCGCGCTTCATTCCCCCTCCCCTCGCCCAGCCTCGCGCCGGCTTCCGCGCTCCTCCCCATTTCTGGCTCCCGTGGCCGGTCCCTGAGTGGAGGAGCTGGGATCCCCGGAGGGCGTGGGGGTGTGTCGGACGCGTGCTCGCTCCCTCCAACAGCCAGCCGCGGGGGCGCGCTCGGCCGGGCCCTAGGGGCGGTGCGGGGCCGAGGGGCGGTGCGGGGCCGAGGGGAGGGGGCTGCTCCCGTTGCGGGGGCGGCGCGCGGCGGCCGTGGCGGCAGTTGCGGCGGCGCGCTGGGGCCCCGTGTCCGGGGTGCCCCCGGGTCGGAGCTGCCGCCGGGGCCGCTGCTGCCGGAGCCATGTACCGCAGCGGTGCCCGCTCCTCAGTCTCTTCGCACCGGCCTAAAGAGAGCAGCGGGGGCGGCCCGCGCACCAGTCGCAGCTCCGGCTCCTCCTCAGGCCCGGCTCGCCGCACCTCACCGCCGTCCTCCGGCTCCTCATCGTCGCGGACCGCTGCTCGCCGGCACCGCTCGCCCTCCGGGCACCGCAGCCGCCGGGCCTCGCCGTCCCCGCCTCGGGGTCGCCGTGGCTCCCCGTCCCCGCCCCGCGGCCGCCGGGCCTCGCAGTCCCCCCCGCGGGGTCGTCGCGTCTCTCCGTCCCCGCCGCGGGCCCGTCGCGGTTCCCCGTCCCCGCCGCGGGGCCGTCGCGGTTCCCCGTCACCGCCGCGGGGCCGACGACCCTTCCCGCCGGGCCCGGCCGGTTTCCGAGGCAGCAGCCGGGGGGAGTCCTGCGCCGACTTCGCCCGGGACGGCCGCGGAGAACATCCAGGCGACGGCGGCAGCCGGGTAAATCCCACCCCTCCACCGGGACTCGCACCGTACTCCAGCCCCCTCCCCGCGAGTTCCCGCTTCCAGAAACGTACGCAGCCCAGGCTCCCGTAGGCCCCCAGGCCCGGGTGCCAAAACTGAAGGCCCCCGACGCGGTTGGGCCCCCTCAGCGACGTCGGAACCTGGAGGTTCCGTCAGCTCCGGGAACTTCATTTGCACAGTAACGGACCCGGGAAGCGCCGGGCGCCTGGTTGGGAGGCCGTGCACCATTTCCTAGGAATAGGTTGTTTGTCTCACTCTGGGTGAGGTGTGGAAAAGTTTGCCAGGGCGAGGGGAGTTTCCTCCAAACCGTGTGCTGGTACTTTTTCAGTTGATGTTTCCTCAGTGTTCCGTGGTTTTGTATCCCCTTAGACCTGAGCTGCCCCGCTGGATCTTTCAAAAGAAGTTGGATGTCTTTGTGGCGAGTTAGGTTGCTTTAAGTGTACAAAGTAGACGCCTAGAGTGTAAATGGTTAGCTGTCTACACTGGAGCTGCTTCTCCGAAATGAAGTGTGCATACCCACAGACATTGTAACAGCCAGTACCACTGACTGGGTTATGTGGCAGGAATTGTGCTTAGCCCTTCGTTTTACACATTCTCTTTCAGCACTCACAACTCTTCTAGGTGAGGCAGTTAAAATTATTCCTTATTGAACCGCCTAGGAACCCAGAGAGGTCATAATTAATCAAGGCCACACATCTAAGAAGTGGCAGAGCTGCGATTCAATTCATATATCCCTGGTGTCCAGCACCCATGATTTTAACCGTTATGTTTCCCTGGTAGAGAGACAGAGCATAAGGTAAAGAAGTTTAGACATAATATTGATCTCTCACCATAACCACCACTCTAGTACAGCCTCTGGGCAGGGTCTGGTGTTTTGGAATTTATTTTCAGCTCAACCAGGCTTCTTTTTAAACTCTGTAACAAAGTTTCTGTTTTCTTCAGTAGCTGTTAATAGTATGCAAGTGCTCTGGGTACGCTGGCCTTAGGTGAATTGACTTGTCACTATGTTAAGGTTTTCATAGCTGAGCAGTTGTAATCTGAGTGTTAATCACTACAGAGGAAGCAAGGAGAACAATACTAGTTTCCATAACCTCCCATTTCTTCTCTGATGCACAACCTATTGTTTCATTGTTTCACTCTTATGTCTTAGTAAATTACATCACCCATTGCTCAGCCAGAAACAGTGATCATCTCTCTTTTCTCCAAATCTACTCTAAGATTATCTTGATCTGCCTAATCTGTCAACTCTGCCTTCAAACTACATCCCCCCAAATTGCCCTCCTCCTTTCATCACTAGCCTAGACCCTGTTACCTCTTGCCTGGATTATTGCTTTAGGTTCCTTTATACCACACTGTTGTTATGGCCCAGTTTATTTTGTACTAGCAATCAAAATGATTTCTTTAAACCTTCATTTTATACATCTGAGAAGTATAAAATGTATAAAAGTATAAAAGCTGTTAAACATCTGTTCTGAGCACTGAGGTTACAACAGGGAACAAACCAGTCAAAAACCCCTGCCCTCTAGCGTTTATAATCTAACCAGGAAAGTTGAATAATAAGATGGAGAAGTAAAAAGTTTTGGCATGTTAAATGTGACTAAGTGCTAAGAAGGAAAAAAAGCAGAGAAGAGTTACAATTTTTGATAGGGTAGCCAGGGAAGACCTTCTGGAAGGAAAGAGGGTATAAGCAATGCAAGCACTAGAGAAAGGATAGTCAGATCATATCACTTCTCTGCTTGAAACCTTTCTGTGGCTGCTTATTACACTAAAAATAAAATCCAGATTTCCTAACTGTGGCTTCTGCCTGTCTTCTCTTCTGTCATTTTGCTGCAGTCATACTACCCACCTTTCTGTTACCCAGAACACACAAAGCTCATTACAGAAGTTGTTCTTTTTGCCTGAAACATCCTTCTATCTGTCCTTTGCAAGGCTGACATCTGATCATTCAGGCCTCAGGTTAAATGGTATCACCTCAGAAAAGCCTTTTTTAATGATTATCTGAAGTAGTTCCTTTTCTCCGATCTGTTTCATGTTACCATGTTTTAATGATTTTATGGCACTTACCGCTCTCAGAAGTACTTTAACACACACACGCACACACACCTGTTTTTGGCTTGCCTTCTCCTTGAAATGTATAACTTCTGAGAGCAGATGTAATTCACTCCTCTAGTTGTCCGCCCAGTACCAGTAAATGAAAGAATGAGAGGTCACTGATAAGGGAGGGTTAGAAGTACAGGCTTTCATCTAAGAAAATGGTATTTTTTAAAGGGCTTTATTTTTGAGGTAGTGTCTTACCATAGCCATTTCTCATCTTGTTGGACCAAAACTTTGTGACTAGGAAGGAAAAGATTTTTGAGTATAGGGATGTCTTGACCCTATTGACTTTTATATTATCTTTCACTTTTGTAGAGACGGTCTCCTGGTCTGCGTTCTGATTCCTCTTTGGAACAGAGCTTAAGGATCACTGTTGGCAACGACCACTTCTGTGTTGGCATACCGGAACGGCGGCGGCTTAGTGACCGACTGGGGTCACCAGTGGATAATCTGGAGGATGCGGACAGGTAGGCTTCATCTGAGGCAAGGTGCACTATAATAGTTCTTAAAGGCAGAAATGTTGCTGTTTTCTGAATGCTGTATTTGAAAGAGTAGTACCAGCATAGAAGTTAAGCCCTGTGTCCACTAGAAAGTATAATACTGGAAATGGCATTCTGAGTGGGGAGAGTATATTGATACAGGCTTATTGCAGAAAGAATTATGTAAAAGAAAAGACATTTTAAAGGGCATTCTGGTCCAACTAGAAAGGGGAAAGCTGAGATGACATTAAGTCTCCCCAAATTAAAAACAGTTGAGATGATATGGATTCCAAAATATTGGAACCTAGGGGTCCTGGACCTCTGCAAGTTCTGGGCAAAATAGGAAAACTCTTTAATGGTGTTACTTGTCCTGGCTTAAATATAGATTCAGAAAGGGTTTAGATAAATTCATGTCTAATATGTGCTATTATATTAAATACATAAACATTAATAGAAAGTTACAAACCCTTAAAAATGTTTAATTTCAGTGCTATTGAGTGCTGAGAAAGAGCAAATACACTCCAGAATATTAAATAGAGATCTCAGATAATAGGAACTTTAACTATATGTGGTAAGTAAATAATCACATTAGGTGTTTTTTACCTCACAAAAGTGAAAAAGTAAGAATGGGAGTGCAGCTCTCTTTCTGAGACCTGAGAACTGTTTCTGTTACAATCTCTGCCCAGCACATTGGGACATTGGGAGTTTTCACAAATGATTAGCAGTAGCAATAAATCAACATAATGTTCTTTCAAACTGAGACTGTCTATGCAGTGATGGACAGCATAGGCAGGCAGGTTGGGGACAGCTAGGCAGGAGTCTGAGGACCAGTGATGCCTTTCAGTAATATTTACTTCAAAGCCCCAGAGGCCATTGGATGCAGTGAAGCAAGGCAGGACAGTTGTGTGTCATATAACACTGAAGCTTCTGAAGATAGGCCTTCAAGGTATGTGACTGTATTACTTAATTGAGGCAACAGCCCTTGCCCTTCTGGCTGCTGCTATTTTGGGCGATGATTGAGTAGGCAGTCCAAGTAGGTGGTACGCAGTGTGATTCTCTTCCTTCGTTGCTGAGGTTTTGAGCATTTCCTCTTGTTAGGTCTTAAGGTGTCATCTCCCTTTTCCATAAGCTTTGTTATTCATGTGTGCTTCAGATGCCAACTGTTTTTACATTATAAAAATCAAAATTTTCCTCTTAGGGAGTTTGGGATAGTATTCTTTGCAAAATCATGTGTTTCAGACAGGTCTATTTTAGAGAAAGTGAGATTAAGGTTCTGAAAGAAGGTACCATGCCATTCTTTAGACTTTTTGCCCCTCGCACTCTTGCTCAAACATGGTTTGTGTAGATAATTACTTTCCAAGAAAATAAAGCCATAGGACCATTGGCGTTCTCAGTTTGTCTCCTAACAGTCAGTCCAGTCTGCAGCTAATGAAACAGGCTGTTTCCATCCTTTATATGTAGGTGTTTATTTTTTCCTGAGACCGTGATATTCTTTCTCTTTCTGTATGGAATCTTTCAAATTTTATGTCAAGTTTGGGTTACAGCCAGATTGCCAGGGTAGTCAGTGTCCTCACTTTGGCAGCTCTCTGTGTAGAATTGTAACTTATTCTGAAAAGGGAGAAAGAACAGGTTGTGTGAAGACACTTAACTTCTGAAGACTTGTGGATGAGGTCGATTTCTCCTGTACATATAACTCTGCCCATTATGTATTCCATGCATGGAATTCTTAACACCTAATTCCTCTTTTCCTTGACATAGGTTGAAGGAGTGTGATTTTTTTCCCTGTAATTTGCCTTAAGGAAAAAACGGAAAAGCAAGCAGCTTTCTTTAGGCATTTTGGAGGATCAGCACAGGAAAAGAATTGGAAGTTTGGGCTCTGAAAGAACTTTTTCTTTTTTTTATTATACATTTTTTAACATCTTTATTGAGCCATAATTCATGTACCATGCATTCATCCATTTTAAGTGTGAAGTTCAGTGAGATTTAGTATATTCAGAATTACACATGCATCATCATGATCAATTTTAGAACATTTTTATTACCTGTACCCTTAGCTGTTAGTCCCCACCACCTCCCACCCTGCATATCACTAATCTACTTTCTGTCCATAGACTTGCCTATTCTGGACATTTTATATAAATAGAATCATACAATATATGGTCCTTTGTAACTGGCTTCTTTCACTTAGCATAATGTTTTCAAGGTTCATTCATGTTGTATCATATAGTAATAGTACCTCATTCCTTTATATTGCTGATAATACTTTATTGTATGTATTTTATTTATCCATTTATCAGTCATTAATGGATGGATAACATTTGGGTTGTTTTATCTTTTTGGCCATTATGAATATTGCTGCTGTGAACATTGGTATACAAACTTCTATGTGGACATATGTTGTCATATATGTTTTTTAACTTGTGTAATGGAATTTGTGAACACAAAGTGGAGAGAATACAAGACCCAAGTACCCATCACCCACATCCAAAAATCAGTTTTTTAAATAGACCACATTTTAGAAAAGAATTGGACTTAACCAAAGCTTTCAGAGAGAGTCTGTCACTGGGCTATTCTGAGCTACAAGGGCTTGGGGCCCTTTTTAGGTCTAACTTTTACTGCACAAGTTCGCCCTCTTATCCTTTGGTAGATCTGGGGAAGAAGGACATAAGCTTCTAACAGGCAAACTGATTTCTGCCTGTATTTATATGACAGCTCATTCTTTTAACTGTTTTTATGCATTTCATTGTTTTTTGTCTCCTTTTGCTGGATTGTAGATCTGGACTGAGACTTTCTGAGTCTCAGATTTATCTCATTTCTAGCTTCTTGATATTTTGTGCTGGATTAGATCGGTTTGTCTTTTGGTAATAGTTTTAGTGGAAAATTGAACATGGGAGCATGGATAAACTTGCCACTACCCATGAAGCCTGTGTTTTTCTCCCTACTCTAATATGATCAGAAACTTTTTGTACAGTACATGGTGTTATAGCAATGAAGTGACTCAACTCACAGACATTCCTCTCTGGAAATAGGTGTGTTCATGGGAGACAAACCTACAGAGTAAAATATTTTACTCTAGTTATGTGTAATTTCAGAGATTGTCCTTGATTCATTTCCATTCTTTGCTCTTTTATAATACATTGAGACCTCAAAATTCCTCAGATTCTTGAGGAAGAGATGAATAACAGGAGCGAGTTCCCACAGGTGGCGTTCTTTTAGAGGAGGTGATAACGTTTATCCTTGATAGTCTTTCATAAAGTTATTTATAGCTGTTACCTAGGTTTAAAACTCTGAACAAAAAAAGGGCTGGTGAATAAGAAAAGGCAACTCTTTGATGTTCTGCTTAGTCCCAGCTATAAGAAAACAATTATAAAAAGGCAAAGTCATTACTAAAAACTCACAAAACAAAAATAGCTACTAGAAACTGTAGAAGACACCAAAGAGTACCATTCTCAGGAGGGTAGTAATTCACTCTGGAATGTAACATGTAAGTTTTCTTTCTTATTACCTAAAGGTTGTATGCTTAAAGGGCTTAGACAATCTGTATTTCTATCTGTGATTTAAATCAGAAATTTGGGGTGGTGGGAAGTAGAAGCTTTGTTGACCATAGTGCCCAAAAAGGTTAGGACAGTTATGTGTGGTGTAGAGCTCTGGGCTCGAAGGACAGATGTCCCATTCTGTTGGACCTTGTTGCTGCAAAGGTCCAAGACCTTTTTATCTCTGAAATAAAAATACATAATGAGCCAAACCATCACAACAGTTTTCCTAGGCCCAATATTAGTAGAGTTCTTGTGTATATCCAGGTGAGGCAGGAAAGAGGGTAGTAACAAAAGAGGCTGTGATGAAGTTTTATGGTTTTTAATATATGAGGCAGCAAAATAGATTATAAACTTAAAAGAAAACCATTCCAATTATAGTAGTTAAAAAATATTTTCCGCACAGCAAAATCCTGTTTTCAAATGAAATACCATACAGAACTTTACTATATAAAAAAATTAAGCTGGAGCCAGTATAATTTCAGTGAAGTGGAAGACCCAGAGCCATGTGGGTTCTGCCTTCCTAGCCCCTCCTTCCATTAGGCATCTTGTGTGTACTCTTCAGAATCTCTTCAAAATGTGGAACATTGCTTGAAAATTGTTGATCCGGACTGGTGTTTCTCAAATTTTAAAGTACATACAGATCACCTGGAGATCTTGTTAAAATGCAGATTCTGATTCAGGAGGCCTGGGTGGAGCCCAACAACCTGCATTTCTAAAAAGTTCCAGGTAATACTGATGCTGCTATTCAGACCACACTTATAGTAGCAAAGAGCTAGAATATAACTAATGTAGAGGTGGGTGACTGAGGGCTTTTTGTAGCCTGGTAGTGATGTTTTCACATCTCCCAAACCCTAGCATGATATTCTGCATCCCCAAAATATAATCAAAGAGATTAGCCTAAGAGCTAGGTCTAGCTAGATTAGAAATATCTCCTTTTAGTTGGAGGCTGAAGTTGCTTGTATCCCTGGAGAGGAAATGTTCCATGTATATATATAGATCTGTTTTCAGACTTCATGATCATTGTCTTTTGTCCTAAGCATTCTGTAGCCCCTTTGCTGAATGTCCTCTCAGCCTGTCTGGTCTTCCTCTTTCCAAGTCCATAGTATTCAGTGATATTTATCTCTTTCCTCAGGGATGACATGACTGATGATTCTGTCTTCACTCGAAGCTCCCCATGCTCTCGAGGTCTAGAACGATATATTTCCCGGGAAGAGGGGCCTCTCAGTCCCTTCTTGGGACAACTTGATGAGGACTACCGAACAAGAGAAACTTTCCTGCATCGTGCTGATTATAGTCCCCATATCAGTTGTCATGATGAGCTGTTGAGGGGAACAGAACGGAATAGAGACAAATTAAAAAGTTCCTACACTATAAGACCTGAGGAAAGGAGCCGGGAAGCCAAACGGCCCCGTTATGATGACACAGAGAAGATTCACAGTGTGGGAAGTGACCATCCAAGTTTTACATCAGGGACCCGCAACTATCGACAGCGTAGACGGAGCCCGAGCCCTAGGTTTCTTGACCCTGAGTTTCGAGAGCTGGACCTTGCCAGGCGAAAACGAGAGGAAGAGGAGGAACGAAGTAGGAGCTTGAGTCAGGAACTGGTAGGAGTTGATGGTGGTGGCACTAGTTGCCCCATTCCTGGATTGTCCGGTGTCCTAACAGCATCAGAGCCAGGATATTTACATCGGCCTGAGGAAGTATCTGTGATGCCTAAGAAGTCAATTCTGAAGAAGAGAATTGAGGTGGACATGGAGCCTTCCATGCAGGTCTCTGCTGCATTTTTCCTGGAGTTCCTTGCTAGTCTCTCTAATACCTTAAAGCCTGGGGGGCTTAAGTTACTTTCCTGGGGGCTGTGTCTCTAGTGATATCTTTGTAATATATGCTGGACCAACATTGTTATGCCTATGAGCTGCACCTTAAAGGAAACTATAAACCTTATAATGTATCAGTAGAGGCCACCTATTGTCACATATTAAGCTTTCTAAACAGACATTTTCTAGAGAATTCTAAATTTTTTCTCTAAGTTGGATAGGCCTGTAGGAATCTTTGAATATGGGTTTCTTGGAAATGAAGCTTGAAGGGCAGAGAGAGATGATCTGAATTTTCCTCATGTCTCTTTAGAGAGAAGACAAAATGTATGAGTGGTAGGACACTAGATCAGAAATCAAATAATACTGATTCCGGGCCCACTTCTACCACCAACTTCCTGTGTGGTTTTTATACAAGTGACCTCGCCATTCTGGGCCTTGATATTTTTTCCTTACCTATGAAAAGATGGTCAGGCATGAGCTCTAGTTTTTAGCTGTCGTCTTAGAAGCTAAAGGCTTATGAAGAAGTGACTTTAGGCACTTATGGGAGCAAGGGGAGGATGATCAGTTAGGGTTTCAGAGTTTCTGACTCCACTTCAACCAAAGCAGTTCCATTTTTATTTTTTTATTTTTTTATTTTTTTATTTTTTTTTGAGAGGGCATCTCTCATATTTATTGATCAAATGGTTGTCAAAGCAGTTCCATTTTATGTTTGTTTTCTTTTTTCTTCGGCATCCATAGAAAAGAAAATAAGTAAGCTAGGGCATCTTTAAAAGTCCCTTTGAATTCAAATTCCTTGATAAGGACTGCAATAAATGGGCAAAAGTGAGGACTCAGTCCAGTCTGCCTGATTTCTTTTTCTCCTTGCTACACCAGAAACATCTGGAGAGATGAAGACCCAAATCTTGAACTTGTCTAAGGATACTGTATCTCCCTTTCATCCATACTTACCTTTCCCCTGCTAATTCAGACAAAGTATTCAAGTATTTATCTCAATTACTAGTTTTCTGACATTGTGCATAGAGATTAAATCAGTTGTGTTTGTCTTTGCAGCTTGAGAGTTTTTCCAGCAGCACCAGCTCCAGCCACGATCACCCTGTCTTCTCTGGACATCCATCTCTTCCATTAAGTGGTGCTATAGCTGCCTTTGCCTCAGAGATGGAAAACAACAAGGGGACTGTGGTAGAGGCTACCCTGAAGGAACCTCAAGGCAACCTCTACCAATGGGGTCCCCTCCCTGGAATGCCCAAAGACAACAGTCCTCTCAGAGAGAAGTTTGGGGGTTTTCTGTACCACAAGGAGAAATTGAATATGAAGGCTGAGGGATCTGAGCAACCCACAGACTTCTTGCTGCCCCATGAGAGAGCTAGCCAGGATGGCAGTGGTTTTTCCCGCATTCTGAGCATGTTGGCAGATTCTACCAGCACACAGGAAAAAAGGCAACGTAGTTTCCCTGACATTGAGGATGAGGAGAAATTTCTCTATGGGGATGAAGAAGAGGATTTAAAGTCAGAATCTTCAGCAAAGCCCCTTGGGGGCTCTGAGAGTGAAGTTATGAGGCAGAAGGCAAGCTCATTACCCTCTTCAGCTCCAGCTGTAAAGTTAGAATCCATAGAAGAGGCCAATCCAGAATATGCTAAGATTCACGACTTGCTTAAGACCATAGGGCTGGATATTGGGGTAGTAGAGATTAGTAAACTGGCTGCACGTACCCAGGAACGACTTCATGGCAAAAAGCCATCACGTTCTTCCACTGACCGCCGTTCCTCAGTTGACCGGCACTTTTCAGCAGACCACGGTTCCTCTGTTGACCACCATTTCTCAGCTGATCTGCGCTCCTTAGATCCTCACAGACTGAAGAACAGAGAGGCACACCATAGCAATACCCACTCCCCAGAGGTGTCCCATCCACACCCAGTCTCCCCTGTAGATCCTTACCTGCTCACAAAGAACAGCCCCCCGTTCCTAAAGTCTGACCATCCAGTGGGTCATATTGCAGGACCAGAGGTAGTTGGCAGTGGGTTTCAGTCATCCGTTGCAGTCAGATGCATGTTGCCATCAGCCCCATCTGCCCCAATTAGATTACCACACCCTGCTTCTTTGTCTCAGTTTCATATGCCAAGGGCATCTCAGTTTGCTGCAGCTCGAATACCTCCAAACTACCAGGGACCTGCCATTCCCCCTTCTTCCTTTGATGCCTACAGGCACTATATGGCATATGCAGCCTCAAGGTGGCCCATGTATCCAGCCTCTCAGCCATCAAACCATCCTCTACCAGAACCACATAGGGTAATGCCAATTACCAAACTAGCTACTCGTAGCCGTCCCAATCTCCGTGTGATCCCCACTGTGACTCCTGACAAGCCCAAGAAGAAGGAGTCAGTGCTAGGCTCAATTCCTGCTGCCCAAGTGCCTGTCCAGGTGTCCATCCCATCACTCATAAGATATAATCCAGAGAAGATCTCTGATGAGAAGAACCGTGCTTCCCAGAAGCAGAAGGTGAGTATTAGCTTTGGGCATCTTGTGTCTGAGTCTTCTATTTTAATAGAAATTTGTGTTTGTCTTTTAGAGGGAGCTGGAAATTTGTAAGGCCCTTTAAGTTCTTTGGTAGCTGCTGTCACCACTAAGTAATGTACATACCCTCTCTGTTTTTCTCACATGTTTTCTCCTTAGGACTAAATTGAAGTATGGCTCTAGGTTCTTTTTTAAGAAACTAGACTTCATTTTTAAGTTTATTTCACTGGCAGAATTATTGGCCTTAGGACACTATGTATATAAAACCTGGGAGCCCTGAATTCTTTTCTTTTTTCCTCACTTAAAAAAAAAATCATTAATACACAGTCTTATGTTGGTTTCAAATGTACATCACCATGGTTCAACAGTCTCCATGATCAACTTACATTGTCATTATGAATTATTGTGTACCTTTATCCCCCTCCCTCTTCCCCCACACCCATCTCCAACTCCTCCCCCTTGGTAACCAATAGTCACCTTTCAGTGTCTATGAGTCTACTGCTGTTATATATTCCACAAATAAGTGAAATCATGTGGTATTTGTCTTTCTCCACCTGGCTTATTTCACTGAACATAATACTCTCTAGATCCATACATGCTATTGCAAGTGGCAGGATTTCTTTGCTTTTTATGGCTAAATAATATTCCATTGCATATATGTACCATATCTTTATCCATTCATCTGTTGACAGACACTTAGGATGTTTCCACATCTTGGCTATTGGAAATAGTGCAATGATAAACGGGTGCATATGTCTTTTCGAATCAGGGATTTTGTTTGGGTATGTTCCTAGGAGTGGAATTACTGGGTCAAGTGGTATTTCTATTTTTAGTTTTTTGAGGAACCACCATATTGCTTTCTAGAGTAGTTGTACCAGTTTGCATTCCCATTAACAGTGTAGGAGGGTTCCTATTTCTCCACATCCTCAGCCATGAACTCTTTAGTAGGTCCTCATTGGGAAATGAGGACCCAAAATTTGGTTGGGTGAAGGAGAATCAGTAAATATCTGTGCTTTATCCCAATGAGTTTTGGATCTTTTTTCTATAGTGATTATGGGGGTTAAAAGCTAATAACTAGTTGTTGCTTGGTAATTAAACCAAGAGATAAGCTTTACTTGTTCTGGTTTGTCTTAGAGTCCAGGAAGAACTGTATATTTATGATACTTTTTAAATACATCTATACTGTCAAGGTTCATTGGGTTCCCAGGCTGCATGAAGGTAGCAATGGCTGGTGTAAAGATCTAATAATTCTAGATGTTTTAGAGAAATTATGTGGGGATAAGGAATACAGAATAGAAGGATTTCAAATGGAAAAATTAATACTTTTAATGGTTCTTAGTAGCTAATAATTCATCTTATTTAGAAACGTAAAATGTAATATGTATAATTTTGGTTTGGTAATAAAAATAATTAAGACCTGAGGAGAAAAAAAAAGGAAAAATAGTAGGTCCAATCTCATTTTTTTCCAGTTTAAAAGAAGTGTAGTTGATTCGTGGGAAGACAAAACATATCCTCTTAATTTTCCATTATCCAAAACTTGAATACCCTGTTTTGTTGAAGTATTTTGGAAAAGAGGGGGTTCAATTCAATAAAGCCAAAACCTAAGACTGAGACACCATTGGAGACTGAGTGCTTTCCTTTAACTTACCCTTTAAGAACCTAGCACTTAATTCAGGGCTGATAATACACAGGCTTTTAACACTAGCCCATTATAGATATAAGCTGGATTTGCTTTTTCCAGTAGGTGGTAGTAATACAGTTGAAAGATCATGAGCTTCAGGTGACATATACTTGGATTTTAAATCCTCTTACTGTATTATGGTCTTGGATGTGTTAATCTTCCACAATCTGTTTTCTTACTATAAAACAGGTAATGTCATGATTAAATAAGATGATATGGATTATAAATTAGATATGAGGACTAAGTAAGATCATATGATACATAAGATATATGAGATGCAACTAACACAGTGCCTCACCCATGACATTTATTAGTTCCCTTCTTAATGGGTCCCTTTGGGCTCATAACCACTATCTAATAGTTGCTGTCAGTAGCTTTAGGTTAACATCAATAGAGTAGTGCTTCCTGCATAACAATAATACTTTCTGGGCAATGTAGCTCTAAAAAGGCTAATTCTAGAACTTGGATTGGAATGAAATACCACTTTTATTATAAAGTCAGAGCCTCTCTGCAGGCATTTAGATCCTTGCATTTAGATATTATCTAGAATGAGGGCTTAAGGAAGAGAGCAGCAGAAAAGGGAAGACATTAGAGGCTGAAGGACTTTCTCACCACTTTGCAGGTTATTGAAGAGAGGAAAAAACTAAAGAGTGACCGGGAAGCTCGTCAGAAAAAGATGTACTATCTCAGGACTGAGTTGGAACGGCTTCATAAACAACAAGGTATCAGACACTCCTGTGCATGACTGCCTTTTTTAGTAATTTGAGTAGGAGACCCAAATGGAAAGCTTTGGGGACTCTCAGGTTCCGTGACCTAAAGCCTCACTTTTTAAAAAATGTTGACATAATTAATATTAGGTCTTAGGCTTACAGAAAAGTTGTAATAATTGAGTAAATAATTCTCAGGTATTCTGTGATTATTAATTTTAACTCCTTTTTAAATTTTACTCTTTTCTTTCTTTCAACCCGTGTGTGTATGTTTGTGTAATTTTTCTTGAAGTCTTTAAAAGAGAAACATAAAATGTAATATGTATAATTTGGGTAAGTTGTAGACATGATGCTCCTTTACTCCTAAATACACCTCAGGGTGTACCTCCTAACAAGGAATTCACTTGCATAACCATAGTACACTTACCAAAATTTAGGAAATTTACATGAATACTAGTCTACCGATATTAATATTTCACTAGTCCCAGTAATGTCCAAAACCAAAAGAANCTTTTCTTTCTTTCAACCCGTGTGTGTATGTTTGTGTAATTTTTCTTGAAGTCTTTAAAAGAGAAACATAAAATGTAATATGTATAATTTGGGTAAGTTGTAGACATGATGCTCCTTTACTCCTAAATACACCTCAGGGTGTACCTCCTAACAAGGAATTCACTTGCATAACCATAGTACACTTACCAAAATTTAGGAAATTTACATGAATACTAGTCTACCGATATTAATATTTCACTAGTCCCAGTAATGTCCAAAACCAAAAGAAAATGCAGGATTTTACATTGCATTCAGTTATCATATTCTTTTAATCTCTTTTAATCTGTAACTGTTCCTGAATCTTTGTATTTCATGACACTGACATTTTAGAAGAGAAGTCACATATTTTGTAGGCTGTTCCTTAATTTTGGTTTGATGTTTCCTTATGATTAAATTCTGGTTATGCATTTTCAACAAGAATATCACAGAAATGATGCTGAGTTCTAGAAGGTGTTGATTTTTATCCCATTACTGATGGTGTGAACTTTGGTCTTTTGGCTAAGGTGGTATATGCTGGATTCTCCACTATAAAATTACTATTTTATCTTTTTAAATAAGTATCTTGTAAGGGAGATGCTTTGAGACTGTGTAAGTATTCAGTTACTTCTTAAACTTTACCCACCAGTTTTAGCATTCATTAATGTTTCTTGCCTGAATCAGTTATGTTGGTTGTTGGTGGTTTTCTAATTTCATCATTCTTTCTACCTTTATTAGTTGACTTTCAAAGAGGAACCTCCCACCCCATTCCCCCATCTGCATTTATTTATCCTAGAAATGGATAAATGATAGAAATTCAGTATGAATGAACTCTTGGGTTCTCCATACAATAGGATATAATATTTTACTGTCATTATTATTTTCATTCTCAAATTACCCCAGATATGACCAGTGGGAACCCCTTTAAGTTGACCCCTGTTTTATTTTTTGATAGGCCCTCATCATTTTTTTGAGGACTTCCTTACTTTTAGGCACCAAAAGATGTTCCATTATGCCTTCTTTGATTCCATCTCTTCATTTGTGCTTTTAGGAATTCACATACACACTGAAGAAAGAACAAACATAACAAAGCTTCTAAATGCTATAGCTTCAATAGTGGGAAGAACAGAGAGTAGAAGATATAATTTCTTCTTTTGCATTTGGACAGTTTAGGGATGAGAAACTTAGTTTTTAATCCTGTGAGGATTAATTTATGAGGACCTGCAGTTTGGAATGGGAGATAGCATTAGGGGAGCCTGAGGCAAAACCTACAACTGTGGCATTAGTGTAGGGTTCTTGAATCAGATAAAGTTAAATATGTGATTGGATGCTTTTTATCCTTTGAATAATTCTTTGCTTCTCTGAAGAGGATAGCCAGTGGATTCATAGTTCATGCATTTTTTCGCCTTTTTGAAAGACACATGCACACAAACTTGTGTATATCATTTGGGGGATTCATGGAGCTCCTGAAGCCTGTCCATAGATCCTGGGCTAACCCTTACATAAGAGATAATGTGACCACTCATCCAGTACCTCCATAGAATCTTCACCTAAACCAGCCCATGTGGAAGGAGAGTTTTCCCTTGGTTTTGAAAGTTTTGTGAGAAAAGATTTTTCTCACAAAGTCTTGAAAGATTACTACTTATCACTGAAAAACACCTTAACTAATTTACCTTGCATTCTTTCTCTTGACATTTGACTACTTAGGGGAAATGCTGCGCAAGAAACGAAGGGAGAAGGATGGCCACAAAGACCCACTCCTGGTGGAGGTGAGTCGGCTTCAGGATAACATTATGAAGGATATCGCAGAACTTCGACAAGAGGCAGAAGAGGCAGAAAAGAAGCAATCTGAACTGGACAAAGTGGCTCAGATATTGGGAATTAACATTTTGGATAAATCTCAGAAGTCTTCAAATGATGGTAAAGAGCCTACAGAGAAACCTGGGAAAGCAGAAAAATCTAAGAGCCCAGAAAAAGTGTCGTCCTCAAACTCTATTTCCAACAGCAAGGTACCAACTCAGCTTTACCTTTTCTGTTACATCTTTTACTTCCGTGGAGTCCTAGAGAAGCTTTCTAAGTAATCATTTTTTTAGTTTCTTTTTACAATCTGTTCTTTCTCTTGTTAGAGTTATTTGTAAAACATAGGACACATCATGGTACTCTGCTTTAGAATTTTAGCAATTCTTCATTACCCACAGATTAGAATCCCATATACTCAGCATTCAGGGCCCTCTGTGTTCCTGTTCTAACATTTACTGCTTAACCTACCCCAGCCAGGCTTCTAATCTTCTCATAACTTTAGCAAAAAAGTCACCTCCATGTTGTACAGCCAATGAATGCATTTCAGTTCTCAAATTGGTATTTGATAAGAGCAACCACTGTCTATCTTCTCTTGGCTTCTATCATACTTCTTTTCCACCTAGTGTGCTGGCTGCTGCTGCTTAGTCTCCTTTGCCTCCTATTCTCTTATACCTCATTTTGAAGTATTTTAGTTTTTCAGAACTTAGTCCTAGCTCAGTTCTCCAAAATTCTGTTCTCTAGGTCGTTTCATCAGTCCTATGCTGAAATACCATGCTGACACCTTCCAGTTTTATATTCTAGTTCAAATGATTCTTCTGAGGTCCAAACCTGAGTTTCCAACAGACTATTCACCACTTCTATTTCATTGTCTCATAGACATCTCAAAATCAGCATATCCTAAACTAAACTCTTGCTTGTGCTCAACCTCCCTCTGACTTTTTCTTTCTCCAGTGTTTCCCATATCAATGAATGGCACCACTGTGCACCAGTTTTCATGCCAGCAACCTGAAAAGTATGCTTAGTGCTTCTCTTTCCCTAACTGCTCCATACCAAATCAGTTACAGATTCCATCAGTTCTCCCTCCAAAGTAAACCTCCATCCATCTTACCATATTATCTTCATTGTCATCCAAGTTCAAGCCTTTAGTTCTTGCTTGTAATGCTGCACTCTTAATCCTTTCTTCACATACAGTCAGTGGTCAAAATACTCTCTCGCCCACTTCTTCAGCCTTGTTGCGTGCCTCTCTTAACCCTGCTCACTACAATTTCATTATTGACCTTTTCATTCCTCAAATGTATCATCCCCTCTAATGTCTTTGCATCTTCTCTTCCCTCTGGTTGCCATGCAAACCCTACTCTTTCCTTATTCCCACTTCTAACTAACCCATATTCATCCTACTGATCACAGCTTAAATTCTTTCCCTGATTCTTGATTACCCAGATTGTTAAATTTGCCTTATATACACTCTCATAATACCTTGTAATTTTCCTTCTTAGCATTTATGACAGTTGTAATTGTATAATTATATGTGTTCTCCAATTAGATTTTAAGGTTCAAAGGATCAGGAACCATATCTGTCTCATTTGCCAGTATAGTCCATTATATAGCTTGGTGCCTAGCATATAGTGTAAATGAGTAGTGCTCAAGAAATAATACATCTTACTCCTACCACTTCAGAATGCTTGCACTTCCCCAGATGTGCAATAGGCTATTATGCCTCCCTGATTTTGAATTAATAATCCTCTTATCCTAGACTAATATTTCTCCCAACCCTACCCATCCACTAAGCACAACTTGAGTGCCGCCTCCTCTGTGAAAAATTCCTGAATTCCATCCAGATTTAGTCAGCCCCTCTGTAACATTCCCATAATGTTTTACTTTGTTTCCTTCTAAGATTATCTCATTCTGACTTGATTAAAACACGATTAAAATCATGGCTGTTCACATGCCAGTCTCTTCCACTGTGAGACTTCTTGAGAATAAAAGAATATAACTTATTTATCTTTATGTGTTTCTCACAGCATCTGGTATGTCTAGTAAATGGTAGATGCTCAGTTAATGTTGGGGGATGGGGGAGAAAAGAGGCTATTCTCTATTCTCTATCAGCCATGCTCTGATGTTTCCATGTATTCCTGGGAAAGTTCTTTTTGTCAGCCAGGTAGGACTATATTCCTTTTATACCAGCATTATGGAGTTCAGGGCTTTTGATGGGAGAAGAGCTTGAAAGTTCTGGCCCTTTGTTTGTAGTTGACTTAAACATTGTTTGGTGTTCCATTTATATACCAACCCCATGGTAATCTATCATCTTCATTTGAGAGAGTCTTCATATTCTCTGAAGCTAATAGGGATATGTTGCATTCAGTTTTCATTTCACCAATAAGGAAAGTTGTGTCTGCAATTTCTCTTTCCTGCATATTTTTGGTATTTCTTCCTTCTTTGCTTCTCTTTCAAGTGTGTAGTTGGTTTGAGGTTTTCTTTCTCTTTGTAGTCATTTCATAAAAATAAACACACAATTCCATCCACCTAGAAACAGTTATTATTGATACTTGGTGTATATATGTTCTAAATATTCTTCTGTTCATCGGTTCACTTAACAAATATTTATTAATCTCCAAGAAAGAGCCAGGTACTGTTCTAGATATGGGAAGCATAGCAGGGAACTATATAGAAAAAGTCTTTACTCTCATGAAATAGGAGAAGATAGACAATAAATAAACAAGTACAGGTTAGGGAATAGCAAGGGCCTAAAAAAAGAAAACAGGATGAGGGATATAGAGTAGTTAGGGGAAGTCTTTCAGATAGGTGACATTTGACATTCTATGCCTATTTACATATATTTACTGATTATTCAAAAGTCTTTTGTCACTTACTTTTCTCAGTATATCATGAACATCTTTCCATGCCAGTAAACAGACTTCAGTGATACCATTTTTAACAACCTTTATTTTTCTTACATGGATACCAAAATCTATTTAACCAATCAAATAGTGTTTGACATAATAATTTCCTTAGGATAAATGTCAGGGAGTGGAATTGGTAGGTCAAAGGGTATAAAGAATTTTGATATATGTAATACGTGTTTCTAATTATTTTCCAGAAAGGTGGTACCAGTTACTGCCAGCAGTGTATGCATGTATGTATCTGCCCATTCTTTACCTCCTGGGTATGATCTCTTTAATGACCCTTAAATAGGACTGTAGTAGGGAAAGATTATCTTTGAAGTCCTAATTCTTTCCCTTTCTCCATCCTATCTTCTTCTCCCCACTGGCCAGTATTCCAGGTGCCCAGTTACCTGGTATTGTCTACTATAGAACTTCATTCATACTTAGCCTTCCCACATTCCAAAACTATCTTTTTTCTGTCTCAGTCCCCAACATTAATCAAAATTCTCATTTCCTAAGTACCTTGTTTCCAGCTTGCTGACAAATGAATTCATACTAAAGTATTTATTATTGATAACTTAATGTTGGAGAGTTTATATGTTTTAAAAGAGAATTCATGTTAACTCAAAGGTGTTAAATTCTAGTGGTATTTTAGGCAGTTAGAAATACTTTACTCATATTTAAGTCATCATCCCACATAGGTGAATTGTCTGCTGTATCTATACACAACACCAGCTCTGCTTTCCAGTTTGTCATACCAGGATGCGTCTGCGATAGTGAGTTCACTGTCATCTATTCTCTGCATTAGCTTATCCTGTCCATTATCTTGACCATTTTGGTTTGCTTTCCTCCCTAGTTGTCATTATGATTTTAAAATGTAACTAATTGCATAGGTAACACTCAACATCTACCAAAGATTATATAGTAAAAAAGGCTCCTATCCATCCATAATCTTGGAGTCTTTTTCTAGATATTTCAGGATACATAAGTAAATATATTGCCATTATGATTTATTCTCCATTATAAGATTGCACTGTAGAGTCTACTTGGTTCTGTTTTAGCCTTGCAGACAGATTTCTTAGGGTTTTTTTCCCCAGTATGTGTAGCTTTAGGCACTGGAAATATCATATGGCCTTTTATCTATTATTGCAGTAGGCCACTTTTTCTGAGGTAAGACAGATGTAGACTGTCTTGAGTTCCTTTTAAGTGTAGGTTTATTCCCCCTGTCCAGGAATCAAAGGTAAACTATGAGAATTCCCATACTAAGAGCCCCAAGCCTGCTGAGAGCCTCCAGCCAACTGCTAAGCAGTCTGATCAGTCCGTTGCTGCCTATGAGTATTATGATGCTGGCAATCACTGGTGCAAAGACTGCAACACCATTTGTGGGACCATGTTTGACTTCTTCACTCATATGCACAATAAGAAGCACACACAGGTAGGTATCCTGCCCTCTGTTATTTCCACTCTTGCCCTCCTTCCCTTCAAACTTCTGTTCCCCATCTGCATTACAAAGCTGGAAAATGAAACATTCTCATATGGGCAGGAGCCCCAGTCTGAAGAACCAAGCAATACCAACAAAGGAGACACCATCCCCAGGGCTCAGTCCAGGGGACCTGCCTGTAACTAAACACCATGATAAGTGTAAGTGAGGCTTCTGCCTCTTTTGATTCCTTGAGAACCTGATTATTTGTTTCATTTTATCCATTGCTAATACTTGCTCTAACATGTGTTTACCTTTTCCACAGGTGATTTCCATTTAAACAGTTGTCAGAATGGGTGGGGGTGGGTAGCTGGGGGTTTCTTTGTCCCCCCTAGTTTTGGGGAGAAAAAGAGAGAAAAGTGGGTCATTGAGTTTTTAGTGCTGTTGTGTGAGCGCCTCTGCCTCTTGCAAATAGACATTGGATCCCTACAACAGACCTTGGGCTTCAAAGACTCAGAGTGAGGCCAAGCAAGATGCTGTAAAGCGCACTGACAAGATAACTGTTCCTGCAAAAGGTATGTTTCCTCACTGCCTCTTTTGTGGTTTCCTTACAGTCAGCCAAGGAAGAGATGTACCAGAACTAAGGTGCTAGGAAGCTGCATAGGGTGAGACATACCCATTCCTTTTAAAAAAAAGTGTAAGAATGCCTTCTAAATGCAAAATAGTACACTAGGTCATGAAGAAATAAAGAGCTCTATAAGACAAGAATGTTCTCTACCCGTATGGCCCTAAATCTAACAGATGTTAAACATATACATACCATTTTAAAATATAATTTTCTTTGTCACTGGCCTATATACCAAAATCTTATTTGAAATCCAGTTAAAACAAAAAACCGTATGAGGTACAGTAATTTAACTAACTGCCTTTTCAACTAAGAAACAGAAAATATTCTTGAATAGTTATTAGGGGGTAAGTTGAGAAGTAGAAAGATTCTTTGTCTTCAAACTTCTCCATTTCTTACCTTCTTAGGTAGTCAGTCATCCTTTAGATCTGTAGAAGATAGATTCCTGGGTGATTAATATCAACATGAGAGATCTTATACAAATGGTACTTGGCTATTTGGGAGTATAGTTTTTTAATCTCCTAAGATGCTAGTGGTAGTTGGAGTTTGAGGAGAATCAGCAACAAATGAGTATGGCACAGGAAACTCCTGAATTAACCAGTTAGTGTTCTCAAGAGGAAGAAGAGGTAGAAGTCCTGAGTTCAAGCTTTAATTTGGAAACACTATGCCAGTATGATTCATATAAATGCTACTTCTGACTCAAAAATGGGTAGGGTCCTCAATACCATTAACCATTTTACTGCAAATGGGAAGTGGAATTTCCTTTGCTGTCATCCTGGGTGGAAGTGACTTATTTTTTTTTACTTTCTTCTGCTTCTTCCAGGCTCTGAGTTTCTGATTCCCATCACTGGATATTATTGCCAGCTCTGTGAGGAATTTTTGGGGGATCCAATTTCTGGAGAGCAACATGTGAAGGGTCACCAACACAATGAGAAATACAAGGTTGGTCTTTGTAGTAGCATGTGGAGTTTCCCCACTTACTGCAGTAATTTGACTTTTGACTCTATCAAACTACTTTAGAGCCAGAAAAAGTTATTGCCCCTAGGAAGTTCTCAGTCCTGGTGAGAGATACTGACCTGATAGAACTATCTATCCTTGAGGAAGATGACCAGGAATTTCTAATAAATTCTAACAGTTGCGGTGCTAAGATTTTCTCTCTTGTAGTATTTTGACTAGTTGTTGAGCTTTTATCTTTTTTCTTCCCAGAAATATGTGATTGAAAACCCATTGTATGAGGAACGGCGGAATCTGGACCGCCAAGCTGGCTTGGCTGTTGTCCTAGAGACAGAACGGCGTCGGCAGAGTGAGCTGAAGCGCAAACTTAGTGAGAAACCAAAGGAAGAGAAGAAAGAAAAAAAGGCAAAGATCATGAAAGAAGTAAAGGAGGATGACAAGGTCTCTGAGGAATTAGAGGACCAACTTTCTGAGTGTGGGAACTCCCCAGAAAAGGTGGAAAATAAAAGGAAAGCTAGCATCAAACTCCAATTAAAAGAAGAATTAAAGAAAGAATCACCAATATCTTCCTCCTTTGGGAAATTCAGCTGGAAGAAGCCAGAAAAAGAGGAAGAAAGAAGTTCAATGGCTCCAAGTATTCTCAGGGAGGATATTGTAGAAAGCAATAAGGACAAAGAGGATGGTAAAACTGAAACTGCAAAGGCAAAGCCCATTAAAATCAAGCTTTCTGGGAAAACGGTTGTTGCACATACTAGCCCTTGGATGCCCGTTGTGACAACTTCAACCCAAACTAAGATTAGACCCAACCTGCCTATCCCATCCACAGTACTCCGCAAGTCGGGCTCAGCTACAGTGAGTAAGCCAGCTCCTCTTAACACCTTTCTATCCATCAAGTCCTCTGGAACCACAGCTAAGCCTTTGCCAGTGGTCAAAGAGTCTTCAGCTGATCTCCTCTTGCCTCCTGACATCATCTCCAAAGCATTTGGAGGAGAAGAGGTGATACTGAAAGGGTCTCCAGAGGAAAAAATGGTACTGGCGGAAAAGAATGAGCCATCCCATATACCTGAACAAATGCTACCACCCCCTCCCCCACCCCCTCCCCCACCCCCTCCCCCACCCCCAGTTATACCTCATCCAGCTGCCCCATCTCCTGCTCAAGCAAATGCTGTCTTGGCTCCAGTGAAATCAAACCCATCTGTATCACACACTCTCAGCCCTGGCTTCCTGGGTCCTAACATTTTGAACCCAGTGTTGCCAGTAGCCATCATGGCCTCAGCACAGCCAACTGCCATTCCTTCTGATGAGACAGCTCCTGGGGTGAGTGAGAGTGACCGGGACCAGACCCTGTTCTCTGTGTTAGTGCGTCCTCCACCTCCCCTCTCAAGTGTGTTCAGTGAACAAGCCAAAAAATTGGAAAAGCGAAATTCATGCTTAGCTACAGCCAATGCTAAGGACCTGTATGACATATTCTACAGTAGTGGTGGAAAGGGGGCCCCTGAGACTAAGCTCAGTAGTGGTCCATTGGCCAATGGGGAAAACAGCAACCTCTCTAAAGCTGAAAGTTCAGACACCTCTTCCACTTCTACTTTGAACATCAGTGCATCCCAAGAGGAGTTGCCTCCAGATAGAAGTTTGGTCTTTGCTTCTTTAGTCAGCAACCCTGAAAAACCCATTGCAAAAACTCTGGTGTCTTTAGGGAAATGGTCAGTTGTAGAACACATAGACTCAAGAAGTAGAGGCAGCAGCTATGGCTTCCTACAGCCGTTAACAAGGTTGTGCCATAGCAGGCCTTATGAAACTATTACCCCCAAAACAAATACTTTGGCCATGTGGACTTCCAGTTCCTTCCAGGGTGATGCTAATAGGGGTTTATCTCCAGAGGGAAAAACTGAGCTTAACCTGACAGAGCCAGGGCCACCAGGTGTGGAACAAGCCCCTCACTTGTCAGATATACATGGTCATACCATGGAATCTCAGAGGTTGGTAGAAACCCACATAATGGAATCTGGTAACCAGGATAAGGAAAGTCAAAAGCTCCATCAATCTAAGGATTGTGGGAAAAGTGAGATAAAGACAGACAATGAACTAAAAGAAAGGAGAGCAAAGGTCTCTGAGAGGATGGTAGGAGAGGAAACAGGTATCAACATGTGCAATAGCATTGAGGATTCTAATTTGAGTCATGGGAACAGATATATGTGGGAGGGAGAAGTAGAACAGCCCAGGTTGCAGATGACTGACAAAAAAGCAGAACAGTCCAAGAAATTTATGACAAGAAGTGAAACTCAAAATAGAGTAGTGATTGAGTTGAGTGCACAGGTTTTCTCTAATACAAAGGCAAAAATAGATTCATTTCCATCAGAAGCTAGGTCTTTAATCCAGAACCCACAGGATAAACCTGTGAAAATTTCTGTGCCAGAATTGCTTCAGTCCCCAGCCAGGTCAGATATGTGTTTAACAGATAGTGCTCAAGAGCAAGGAGTTTCAACTGTTAATGAAGATTGGCTAGAAAATTCAGCTCCAGAATCACTTTCTAGAACTTCTAGATACAAAAGCCTCAAACTCAAGAGAGAAAGATCAAAAGAGTTTAAAGGTAAAATGATTTATGAACTGGCTGTTTGGGATGAGAACAAGAAGCCAGAGACCTGGGAGAGCCCAGAGAAGCCAGAAGCAGAAGCCCTGGAGCTACGAGGTGTCCATCCAGAATTAACAGTGACAATAGAAACCAAGGCCTTAGAAGACTTTGAAGTTACAGACTTGAAAGTAGAAAAGCTTGCTGCCCTAGGGAACCTGGGGAATATGGGTGTTGATTTCTGCAGTACTCAAGTAGACCCAGCACATAAATCCCCAACTGCCCTGTCTCAGAAAGCGTGTGAAGAAAACTCTTTGTCACTTGTAGGATGTAATCCCTCCACTCTCACTGACTTTCAACCAGTCCCATCCTTGTCTGAGTTTCCATTAGATTCTCCCAAAAGCCTGGTGCTAAAGTAGACCCAGCACATAAATCCCCAACTGCCCTGTCTCAGAAAGCGTGTGAAGAAAACTCTTTGTCACTTGTAGGATGTAATCCCTCCACTCTCACTGACTTTCAACCAGTCCCATCCTTGTCTGAGTTTCCATTAGATTCTCCCAAAAGCCTGGTGCTGAACTTTGGAGCAGAAGGTAGAAAAACATCATCTAATTTCGTAAGTGGGAGGATCACTCCTAACATTTTGAAAACCGGACTTCCTGTAGAAAATGTTGACCTTGGCTTGGGGAGCCTAGAGGGAACACACCAGGCCCTTGACCTTTTAGCAGGAGGAATCATGCCTGAAGTAGAAGAAATTTCTCAATTAGAGAATCAAGATTCACTCAGATTGCAGTCAGAAACAGTTAAACCTGCAGGCTTTGAGCCATCACCTTGCCTTCCAGACCTTGTGGACTTCGTCACACGGACATCTGGAGTTCAAAAAGAGAAGTTATGTTTTCCTCTCTCTGAGCCAGGTAGCCCTCCTGAGTGTAGTTCCCTGGAGATGGGACCACTACAGCTAGAAATACCGAATGCATCCATCACAGAGGTAGCAATTTCTCAAGTAGATGAGGACAGTGACAACCCTTTGAATTTGGTAAAATCTCTGGCTTCAGGGTCCCCTACAAGGGAGCAGGTATTTGGAGGCAATATGGTCCCTCAGGAAATACCTGCACAAGAAGCTGTAGTTGCTGCCATCCAGGACCACACAGAATCCGGTGTTCATGACTAAGAATACACATCCAGATCTACTTGTAGATGAATGGAGTTGGCTTCTAGAAATCAGGTGCCCAGATGATCCAGGACTAGTTGGCTATCTTATCTGGAATCACCAAGAGATACAGTCAGCATCTTAAAGTAAATGTTCATGGAAGCCAAAAAAACCTTACCTCCTTTGCTATTTTCCTTTCTCTTTAAGATACCAGACAAATCCATCATAACTTCTATACATAACTGTAAAATATTTTCTGTTAATTTTTTTCAATTCATTTTCTCCTTCTTTGTCATTAAAAATCAAATGTCTATCTGGCTCACCACATAGTGTGCTTTGATTGTATTTTGGCTTTGACATTTCTTTCTGGAATGTGGGGGAGGAGGGAGACAGCTTACTTCTCCAATTGCTGTGTTGTATTACCACCCAATTTCCTGGGCAGCTGATGGATCTCTGGGAGAAGCAACAAAGTCTGCTGAAATGGAAAACGACTAACGAAGGAAACGGATTGTTCATCTCTTAGGCTTCCATTTCAATGGGCCTGCCTTAACATTGTTTGAAATGAAGCGTGAGTAGCTCTTTTGTTTACTGTTTACTTCCTTGTGGCATGTCAACCCCTGTATTTCCCTCATTCTGTTGCCTTTGTTTGAGATGGTCATGCTAACCCACAAACCTGTTTGGAAATGGCTTCAGCAAACGTGGAAAAAAATATAGGAGGCTCACTTTTGGAAGACTACAAATCAGTCATGCTAACCCACAAGCCTGTTTGGAAATGGCTTCAGTAAACATGGAAAAAAATATAGGAGGCTCACTTTTGGAAGACTACAAATCAGTCAGGCTTATTCATGGCTCGGTCCCAGGAGCAGATATGCTTTTTGGATCACTTATTTACAAAATGACCTTTGTTCATTGTATTGTGATCCAGTAACAATTTCTATTAAATTGTTTAGCAGCCTTTTCTGTTCTGAAGAGGTACATCTGAAACTTGTTTTGGGATTGGACTCATTCTGTTTCACAACCCATATGTATTCCTTCCTCTACCTCTCCCTTTCCCAGATTATATCCACCATATAGCGTGATGTTTGGGGTTGTACATTTTGTTCAAAAAATTAAAGAATTTATGAGTTGACCTGGACAAGTTTAACTTTATTTTTTAATGTGTTTACTTGGAATAAATGTATTAATCTCATGTTTCCTTCTGGATTTTTGTTTTAAAACCTCATGTTTCCTTCTGGATTTTTGTTTTAAAACCACACGCATTTATACTCAGGAAAACTAAAACAATGAACTCCTCCTGCCCTCTTATTTCTCCCCCCCACCTCCAACTATTCTTGTCCCCTTATCAGGGCTAGTTCTTTCATGTCTGATTGTTAGGTTATATATCCAGCCCAGTGTTGCCTGGTGTGTAAAGTAGGCAACAGTGGTTGGGTTTTGGCATCTTCTTATTTTGAAGCTTTTATATTCCCTATGTTGGATCTCCCTGTGTTCATCTGGGAACTGAGCTCTGCCAAGGACACTCCTAGTATTCTTGTTGGGGGTGCTCTTAGGGATCAAGGATCGAGGCCTTCAGATTTCCTAATTTCTGTCTCAGTTTCCTCTTGACGTCCCTGTTGACAGCAGTTTAAAACCTGGCTCAGCAGAGGCTTCAGAGTCTTGTTCTACCCACCCCTCAAAAACAATGCACATTTGCTGATCTTTTTTTCCTAATTCTTGTTTCCCTGTGTCTTTGCATGCAGAGCTAGCTGTAGAATCCCTATTTGAGTTTGGGGAAGCTGCTTACTTTATTGAGAGCTTTGACTGATGTCTATAAGTCCTGGCCTCCTCTTCATGTTGTGGAAGGGGCACAGATTTGGGAGAGTCAGGTCTTTGAATATTCCTCAGCTGTTTGCCTTGCTGTGATTTTAGACAAGTTACTTTACCTCATAGTGCCAACAGGGATATTTTTCTGCCTTAAGGTGATCATTATCTCCATCTCAGCACCAAATGTGTACAGGGTAAGGCCATCCTGATTAGTCTTCCTAGGCCTGCTTTTTTGTCTGAAACCTAAGTTTAATGTACTTTTCTAGCCTGGAAACCATAGACTGACTCAGAAGGTGCCCTTTAGAAGAACATAAACCCAGGTGAGCTTCAGAGATACTTGTTTACTCCACGTTCTAGGAGTTTATAGGAATTCAGAGAACTTAAGATTTAACAATGTAAGTTGTTACTGATTTTCAGAGCTGTTAACTTGGTAAATTCCACCTCCATGTGGGGAGAAGGGTGGATTTAGGAAAGGAGTGGAGAGGGGTTAATCCTATCCGTATCCCACTCCTAATCTCACTCCCTCTCAGAGGGAGTCACAGTCTTAACTATGTTAGTAGGGGCCACTTGAGAAGAGTAGGGAAGGGAAGAAAGTCAGATCTAAGAAGGGCAGAACTAAAGTAATTGGGGCTGGAGTATGTTGAACAACTATTCTTGTGCTCTCTTGATAACTTAAGGCTTTTTACTAGACATTTACCAATCTCAGGCTTTTTCTAGAGTAATGCCACTTCCAAGAGTTGAAGCAGCAATATTCTTCATACCTTCCTTGAACCAGCAGAGGGAGAGCTTTAGGATTCTGTAGTCTGAGCAGGAAGTATTGCTACCTTTTTCTCTGATCAGTGGGATCTAGCTTTGGAGCCCAACCAGAGAAGCCATGCGAAAGGGAGGACAGAACTAACCCAGTTGCCAGTGCCTAAAGGTAGGGCTATATTTTCAGCACTATCATAGTACTGAACAAACTTTCACCTTAGGAGACAAAGGGATATACAAGGAGTGGACCCTAAACTTTACATGCAGCTTACAGTGTCATAATTATATTTTAAATTTCTTCAAACATCAGGAAGTTTTTATTGGACTCACTCAACTATGGGAACAGATGATCAGCAGTTAAGTTTAGATTCAAGCAAACACCAAATTTTACCTAAATTGTATAAGTAATTCCCTAAAAATTCCCCTTGGCATTGTGAATGGAGGCCTGCTTGATAACCGTCTTTTTCCTACTCACAGCTAGCTTCAGGGCACATAATACTCTAAATAAGTGTTCTGCTAAATATTCTCACTTTATCCCATGCCATCCCTTCTCTATAAAAAAAAACAAAAAAGTTAGCTAATGCTTTGGTAACCAAACATGCCAGAACATAAATCCACTTATCAGACTGTCAGGTTCAGGGACTGAGGAGGAATGGGGAGCGGGAGTGGGGGTGGGAGAATTGGACATAAAAGATCCAATTGTTGACACTGATTGTATTTAAAAGAAGATGAAGATGGGTTCAGTGAGAATACAGCCTGTAAAGGAAGTGAGGTGGGGTTTTTTAAAAATACATATTCTTAAACCTTGGTTCTAATCTTAACAGAGCTTACCTATCAAGCCCAGGAATAGAACCTAAGTAAGCTCTTCATTTATTAACAATTTTGTGAGAGCATGGACAAATGAAAATAGTTTGGGATTATGAGCACATTTCTTTAGGGTTTAATTTTATGATTTTGTAATTTTTAATAAAAAATTGTATCTACCCTGCCAGTATTCGTTGATAAGCCAAGCAGGTGAACTTAAAATGAAAATTTTAGACCTTTAAAAAAAATCACCACCATCCTGGTGGTGATTATTATGCTTTCAAAAGAACAAGTACATTGTTGTAGCACTTAAATGTGGTTGTAATTATACATTCATGTGTTTCCTTGATTAATATTTGCCTCCTTCCCCCACAACTTGATTATAAACTCTCCAAAGCAAGAAGTATGTTTTTGCTTACTATTTTTTCATTATTGTATTTACAGTGCCCATTTACCTGGCACAGAAAGAGTACTCAATAAAAATTCATTTAAAGAATCAATGTGGTAATAGAGCAATTTTTTATTACTGATTGCAAATAACAATTTATAAGTAGATAAAAGCTATAATTTGCCGATTGTGTTGTCTGGGTGCTTAGCACTCCAGAAGACAACTGTCCTCTGACTTCTGCCCTGGATCTTTGTATACAAAGCACTGTCTGTAGCGAAGAGTGCATATCAAGCGAGGCTGCCCATGACCCCTTCCTTTCAACAGCATTCTGGAATAGTGCTAGTTCAGGAGGGGTACACACTGCCCTTGAACTCTTCAAGGAAAACTGAAGATGGGAAGAGAGGTAAACTGACTGTAAGAGTTAGCAATAAAAGGCCACTGCGGACTGATTTTCAGATGCCTCCCTTTCTCCTTCCAGCCAGATTCCATAGGCATGTTGAAGCCAGCCAGCCAGTCAAAGCCCAGATTCCTCTGATTGGGCTGAAGGAGTAATTCCAACACTTCATGGCCCAAGATCCTCTTGTCACCTCATCAAGACGAAATCAAGCTATTGATTTTGTTTCTGAAAGGAAACAAAGCTAACCAAAAAAGGTTGTCTTTGTAAGAGAGAAGTCATGCTTTCACTTTTTATTTTGTATCCTTTTTTGTTTCAACATTCTGACCATGAAAATTTATTTTATGTACTATTATATATATATATTATAGTATATGAAATATACATACACACATAAAATATATAATTTTTATGTCTGTAAGGGTTATCTGGTACTGTGGAATTATAGACCAGGTTTTTTCTGTATACTTGTATGCATTAAAAGATAGTATTTTAAGTTGTATCTTTTCCACTCAGTGCATCCTGTCTTCACTTCTGTCATCAGTTTTCCCTCACTGCAGACAGATCCTGTTGCTTTTCCCTCAAGACTTCCTAAATTCCTCTAACTCCAAGGCTGAGCAATGTACATTCTCCAAGAAACTCCATTCTTGAAGAATACCATTCTTTTGTTCCTTCTTCCTCTTCCCTTTCTCTTGCCCCTGCCTCTGTTGAACTGGTTATGCATTTCCATTCATGCTGTACAAACACCTGGACATTAAACAATGTAAATCAAAATAACCTTTTTTCACAAACTTACTTTAATGCAGGCAGGTAAATGGTATCACAAAGGACAGAAAAAAATGCAAATCTAGTTGTACTGACTGAAAGCTTTTTTTCCTTGCATGTGTAAAGGATCAAGCAACAAAGCAGTTTTGTAGAAAATAAGGGAAATGAGCGTAAAAACTGTTTAAGTGAAGTGAAAATGTACCGAGTAAAAATGGAGGCAGAGTTACATAATGATAGAGGATGTAGAGAGAACAAAGATAAAGACCATATTGAGATATTTCTTTCATCTTTTTTTATATTAAAATTTTTTTTTATTTTGATATCATTAATGTACATCTTTCATCTTTCTGATACCCTGCCCCTGCTAAAGTTCTATTCAGCCCTCCTATAGCTTATCCACATAAGGATGATTATGATGACGTTTACTAACTCTCACCCACCTATCTTCCTTTCTTTTCAGAAACAATTGCAGAAATCTTCAGATATCTAGAAGGAAGGACTGCAGAAGAACTCTGCTCCAGGGAGGTGGGTATAGAAGCCATTGGAGACAACAGAAATGATGAGCATCTCTGGGGCCAATAGGCAGTCACCTCCAAGGTGTGACTTCCAGGAGGTGGGTATGGCTGCTGGGGCAGGAATGAGTTGTGGAAAAGGCCCTGTCATTTTAGCTGCCAGGAAATGGTGAGTTGAGTGAGCAAATATGTTATATATGTCTATATCTTTGTGCCAGTAGAGGAACAAGATGATAGGTGTAGAAGGTATATATGTTAAGCTGGTCATTCCTCATGTCAAATTATCTCCTAACTTCCATCTCTCATTTTGTGCCATGATACTTATGTTAAAGCTGTGGAGTCCAGATCTTATCCCCCCTGGACCCTGATCTAGATGTTCCCAGCAAGTAGAATATATCCTATCTCAGCTTCATCCTTCCTTACTGGTTTACACAAGAATCCAGGTAAAAATTGGGCATGTCAGAGGAGTGGAGTATGAGTAGACAAAAGAGGCTCAAGGAAGGAGGGTGGAGAAAATCACAAAGGGAGTATTTGAAAAATTGTGGGACTTAAGACTTCAGGACAACTGTCTACCAGTTTCCATTCAGTCTTAGACCTCTCCTACACATGTTGAAACGTGTGACACACAGAAGCAGGAAAGCATCATTTCAAAATACCAAGGAAAACCTTACACTCTGACCATCTAAAATGCCAATAGCAGGTGCTTTTATGGTAACTTGGGACTGTCCCAGTAATAAAATTTAGCTCTCTTGAAAGGCCTTTAAACTCTGAGATTCATTTAAATCTGCACTGTCCTAGCTCTTGACTTATCCTTAAAAGTAAGCCTGGTTTTGTTCCTGCTTTTTAAATCCGGGTACAATAGAAGATGTGTCCTGGATGTGTAGTTTACTGCCCAAATTAATTACAGCTTTGGGGAACTTTGGGGAATACTTATAACACTGCAAATATAAAGAACTGCATAATATACATCTCAAAGCTACCAATAGAATAAGAAGTAAGGGGTAAGAGGTATCTCAGGGCTCTTCTTGCTGAGTTTCTGTCAGTTAAGGACTACTCATTCCTGGGTGTGACCCTGTGGATGAAGCAATGGAAAGCAACCTGGTGCCAGGACTGCCAACACTTTGTCACCACCACTTTCTACTTTCTCTTCCTTGCTCCAGCCCAAGATCTGTTTCTCGTCAGTTACCACATTCCTGTGCTTGGGGACAATCAAGGATGTTGGTCACAACTTTCATTCCTAACTGTGACTATGACTCACCTACCTATCAGCCCCTGGTATGCTGCTGAGACCTCCATTCTCCTCTGGTATCTGAAGTCCATCTCCAAGATGTGCTGATCTGTGGGAAAAGGGAACATTTTTTGGAATAATATTTTTTCCTTTGGACTTCTTTTACTCAATATGGTAGATTTACAAATATTGTGATTCTTAGTCACTAAAATGTAATTCATATAACATTCAATTTTAAATAGCATGAGATTCACTATTTTAAAGTGTATTATCTGTGGTTTAAATTATCTTCAGGGTTGTGCAATCACCATTTTCTAATTCCTGAGTATTTCCATCACACCCCTATAAAAAACACATACACATTAGCAGCCCCAGTTATCCCCTGCCCCAAAGCAGTCACCAGTCTATTCTAGAGACCAGATATGGACTTTCTATTCTGGATAATTCATATAGAGGGAGTCATGCAATATGTTGTCTTTTTTTTTTTACCATTTTAATCATTTTTAAGTATACAATTCTGGCATTAAGTACATTCATATTGTTGTACAACCATCACCAACATCCCATCTCCAGAACTTCTTCCCCAACTGAAATTCTGTACCCATTAAATACCAACTCCCCACACCTTCTCCCAACCCCTATAACCACCATTCTACTTTCTGTCTCTGTGAATTTAACCTTTGGAACCTTATATAAAAGGAACCAAACCATAGTTGTCCTTTTGTGATTGAATGACATGTTGAATTTTGAAATAGAATTAATGATGATAATAGTAATGATAATTATAATGGTTACCATTTATTTAGTACTTTGGGGGGGCAGGCGCATTGTTTATTTAATATTTCCAATATAGACCAATAAATGACCTTATCCATCATCATTTGACCAATATGTTGTCTTTTGTATCTAAGTTCCTTCACTTAACATAATGTTCTTCTTTCACTTATTCCATTTTTTACCACATATCAGAACTTCATTTTATTTTATAGTTAGATAATAGTTCACTGTATGGATATGTCACATTTTGTTTATCCATTTACTGATTGATATTTGGGTAATTTCCACTTTTTGGCAACTATGAATAATGGTGCTATGAACATTTGTGCAGACATAAGTTTTTCAATTCTCTTGGGTATATACTAGGTCATATGACAACTCTTAATTTCCTTAAAATAAATTTTGTATTAAAGTATAAGGCACACATAAGCAAAAGCATACATACAAGTATTAAGCTCAACAATTTTAACAAAGTGAACAAGCCAATACCCAAATCAAAAAATAAGAATGTGACTGACACCTCTGAACCTCCCTCATGTCCTCTTCCAGTCACTACTTTCCCAAAATATAACCACTGTTCTGTTATCTTAGGTGTTTTCTTGGTTGTTGAATTTTTTTATACAGGTAGAATTCACCTTTTCTTTTCTTTTTTATGGTCTTATTTTTTTTTCACATTATGTGATCTTTATTAAAACATTAAAACACCAGAAAACTTTTAACAAAACATTTCTGGACCAGGGACTTACCCAAGCTTTTTTTTTTTTT